CACCGACAATAAATTTAATCAGCTCTTCTTGCGCGTGTTCTCCACGATATTGTCAAAAAAATGACTTAAAGATTTAAAAGTTTTAATCATTTATTAAAGAAAAACATTATATTAGAAGCATATTTTAACATATTGTGAATACAAGTTCACCAAGGATGTAACAGTGGTAAAAACAACCCCGGGAAAGATTGGGGGGGATTCGGTGAGATTGGGGGGATTCGGTAAGATGGGGGGATTCGGTAAGATGGGGGGTTTGGGATTCGTGGTCTTACCTCCCCGTTTGTCCCCAACATTGTTTAGCCAATCCAATGCTTTTAATTTTAGACCAGAATAATGGAGGTTGTACAACTTTCAATGCGAGGGAATCCCTCCTGGGTATTTGATAATTTCCTTCCGTCTGCCTTAAGCGGTGAAGAGAGGGGAAGGGGGTTGCCTAAACTGGACATTTAGTTATTTCAAAAGTCAAAATACATGCCACCCACGATGCTAGGATGGTAATGGTGGTATATACGGATGGGGCGAGGCATAGCTTCAAAATACTGAAACATTTATTATACATGTACAAATGTCAGTGAATTCAAGTGATAGATTTTTGCTAGATTTTTATTTTGTCACACGGTCATCAACCGCATATTAGGATAATAAAAATGACAATGAGAGAAATAGTCCGGCAGGCTGAAATAAAAAAGTACATCACCTGTTTATATAAATCGAGAAAAAAAAAAGAATATCATGTATATTTTTTCGTTAAAAAATACTTTACCAAAAATTTCACCATTTAAAGCGTTAAATTAGCGGAATGAATAATAAACGCTTGGTGTCGTCTGCAAATCAATACACGCTTAGTCATGTAGATCGTTTAAAGGTATATTATATACATAGGCCGACGAAAGACCGTATCACGTTCGCATGATTTGACAATTTTTTTTTTTCATTTTTTTTTATTTTATCTTCACGCTCGGTTACACAAACAAAAAAATGAAAGTAGTAAATATTGTATTAGCATCATAATACAAATAATTGTTATTGTTCTTTTTTTCCTCTTCGTAATTTTTAGAAAAAAATGTAAAATATTTCGAGTTTTTAACAGTTTTTATTACAGGCTTAAATAGTCTTAAAAATGCTAATAATTTCTTTTTTCTAAAACGTTTTAACTTTATATTTCATGTTACAGTTTCCAAAATTTAATGTTAATCATTGGCCTTATAGCTAAGCCATTATTTGCATCCTTTTACGTTTAAAACCCTATCTTTTATGGCGGAATAATATTAATTTTGTTCCTGAACAAATCATTCTGTTTACGTACAATTGAATATACATGCGTGTCAAATAACAGAAACATTCTATGTTACAACTCCCTCGATAATCGATCATATAGGATTATTGAACCAATCTAATTGAACTGTTGATAAATTTTATATATAAAATTTTTTCATAAGATATAGCTTAGTTGAATGCGCCTTTAAGATAATACATGAGCCGCGTCCCGACAAAACCAACATAATGGGTTTGCGACCAGCATGGATCCAGACCAGCTTGCGCATCCGCGCAGTATGATCAGGATCCAAGTTTCTCTACTTGTAATAGAGTTGGTAAGCGAACAGCATGGATCCTGATCAGACTGCGCGGATGCACAGGCTGGTCTGGATCCATGCTGGTCGCAAACGCACTATGTTGGTTTTGTCGTGACACGGCTCATATACTTATAAGTGTCAATTTTAAATACGTACACTACCTTCGCCGATCAATACATGATCAGGACAGTAAGGTATTGGTAAATTAAATGGTTTGAAAAAAAATATACACTGATCGAAACATGTATATTTTTGTATGGAAGACAAACACAGTATAAATGTGCACCAAATATGTTTGATTATAAAGTGCAAGTATGTAGATTAAACACGTCTTAAGATTTTAGCGTTATATGATTTATTTACGATAAATCATTGATAAATTGAAATTAAATCGCCTTTTTACTACAAGATTAAATTAATCTATTCCCATCAAGATTTAACGCTGATTTTGTTACACCGTCATTAACCTTGGGAGAAAATGTAAACACGCCGGTTTTTGAATGACAATGCACTTTTTCTTCACATGCCGTCGTTGCAACACCGCGCTTAAGTCAACATGAAACGTTATCGTGCGAATCATTTAAAGCTAGATCTTTCATTCATATATTTTCAGTTGAATAAACTCGTTCGTTTTCTTGTTACACTTTTTGGTTTGTACTGCTGAAAGTGCCGGGGGTCTTTTCCGTACAATCTTCGTTTTGTTTAAACTCCGTCTCAACGTCACGTGCCGTGTAAATTCGTCCGCGTTAATGACGTCACAATGATATTAAAGAAACACTTTTACTACCGTGATAGCGTAATAAGTAATTTGATTTTTTATTGATGAACATGAATTTTAAAGTTTATATGCGGAAAAAATTTGCAGGAATAGCAAAAAATGTTACTATGTGATTTCGTTTACAGTTAATTGATGAGAATGAAAAGGGGAGTGTGTTACTTATATTAGATTTTAACAAAAGTTTTTAAAAAAAGTATATTTTGGAGAAAGGAAGCTTTCTTTACTGAAATTTTCATACATGGAACAGGAAATTCGAAAAAGGAATTCTAAAACTATGGAAGACAAGGAATTAAATAACTCGTGCTGCAAGTCAGATATGCACGAGAAAACCGTGCATCTTAATGATATTAAAATAATCAATGGACGAAAAGGATCATTAACTCCGGAAAAGGAACTAAATGGACATGCACGAGAAAATTCGTGCTGCCTTTGGGTTCCTTTCAAACTTAGCATTTCTTTGATTGTTGGAGTTGTATTTGGATTTTGTGTTCACAAAGGAAGAGGTAAGCAGCCAGAGACATTGTTTCTGTTAACATGATGCGCTTCCCCCTTTATTTGGTTTGCAGGTTGGACATATTTTCTTCCTGGCGGCGTACTTTAGGCCACTGGCTTCCAGTGCATGCATTTGCCTCCTCACCGCTGTGGGATCGAACCCCGCCAGAGATTTCGAATTATTTTATGTGAGAAAACAATTAACCTATATAGTATAGCTAACGAAATGTAAGTGGTTCTATTCAGACGCCCGCACTTAAATGAAATAATGCACGTGCCACGTGATTGTCACGTGAGTGTCACGTGAAGTATTGCTCCCTCAGTGTAGTTAGTAACATATTTATTGCAAAATTGATAATAAGGCCACCGGCCGCATCACTTGACGTCCTCCGATTAAAATATTTGGCCTAATATTTAATACAGAACAATAAATTATCTTTATTAATACCAATTTGATTGTTAGTATGCCTACACAATTTTTATTTCTTGTCCATCATTTTAATATAAAATCTCAAATTTTCTCATTAGACCATGCTTTACAAATTACTCCAGTTTTAATATTTTCATGTGTAACAATCGGCGTAAAAACCTACTAACCAAACAATCAAACTGACAAACTTTTCATTTGAAAAAAAAAGAAGAAATCTTTATTTAATGGACACTTATATTTTAATAAATAACAGTAAAATAGTCTTAGCCTTTTTAGGTATCTGTTGCTTTATTGGTCTCTTTGTGTCAAACGGACACTGTGATGGTCATTCAGTACGGGTAAAGGAATACTTCGAGTAAAGGAATACTTCGGTTGCCCCCAGCCCCATCCACGCATTATTTCAGACACAAGTCGGCATTTGAGCCGAATAATTGTAAAGTGAAAAAGCTTGTAATATATCCTCGCATACTATAAATTAATTTCATGTCGCTGTCGGGGATTCGAACCCACGAAATATGTCTGCCTTTATTTTATTCATTACTGTACAATTTTTTTTCCTTGTGTAGCTTTACTAGTCCAAAGATGTATTATAATCCCACGTCTGTCTGATAGATTTTTATTATTTAAATTTGAATTAAATCTAGATTAGTTCTCACCATCATTGCGGTTGAAATATAATCAAAGCTATTATAACAAAATGAAATTATTACGATGACACCGGTTAATATCTCTCTAAAACCATATAGGTATGATTAATACGTGTTTTTTCCATATCTTATAAATTTTCTTATAATGAATTTGACACGAAAGACTGATATTTAATATAGCGTACATAATATACCGACATTGTAACTAGATATACGCCGCTTTCAATAGAAAAGACGACGTGAGAACTTTATATCCACTGCGCATGCGTAATGAGAAATTAAGTAAATGGTGTAATTTACGCATGAAATTATGAATGAGTCCTGAAATTACTACACACAAAACTGATCTACGCGAATGACTCTGCAATTTAGATACCGATCAAGTGACGATGTATGTTTAAAGTGTGAAAAAAGTAAGGTTAAGCAAATCATAAACGCATCGGAGGATGGAAAAAGGGTTAATAAATGTAAAAGTAAGCGGTGAATAGTATTTTAAATTATGCTTTGATCTTACTTCATGCACCGAAAACTCTTAATAATATGTAAATAAGTGATTATACATTCCTTTTTAATAATAATAAAGAATCATAAGGCTATCGTTAATGCCTGTACAAATTTGTAATGTTAAGTATATATTTTTGTTAGGTAGAGCGTGCGCTCCATGGGTCCCCGACAGCAAACCACCAGGGATCGCGGGTTCGACTTCCAGACTCGCAATTTAAGTAAGCTTACTATAATGAGCTTCCGATAAACCGAGGATCTTGAAAGTTGCACGTCTAACATCCAAAAATAAAATGACAAAGTAATTTGTGTCTTCTTGAACGAATTGCACGTTAGTGCTGCCGTCGGCAACAAAAACGCACGTGCAATTTAGTCTTAATGCGCATGTGCAAACTTTCCTCCACAAACACACAGTAAAAAACATAGAAAAACACAATACACGTGCACGCCAGTTACATTATATCATGACACGTGCATCAAACTACATCACGTTTGTTAGAACTAAAATATTACTGCACACGTGCGCGCTCAATTATGTCACGCATCGCTTGATTACGTCATTTATTTTATTTTTTCAGTGTTCGAACCGAAGACAATACGGTCACAGATGGTGTTTGAAAACTTTATTATGTTGAAGATGTTTCTGTCCGCTGTCTGTGCTGGTAAGTAGAGTGCATTTATATTAAAGACCCATCACGACCTACCAAACTTTAACAAAGCAGACTTTTTATAACGGGTATAAGTAGATGATGCCAGTTGAGTATTAACGGCAACATATATGACAAAGAGAGTCCGACTATAATGGAAAGAAGCATGCTTTCCTGCAACTTGTATCACATGTTTAACTGTTAACGGGAAAATCCCGAAAACTATTTATGAACAAAACAATTATATATACACTAAGCTGAAGAACGATTTTTATAATGACGGTATGAATAAGATTAATTTAAAACTGGCTATATCTGGAATAAGGTTAAAGAACTTTTACGAAATACCTTACGAATGTGAATGACATTTAATGATATTTAATACATCAATTGTCAACAACGGGGGATTAAAAACTACTTTAACATTTTGGGTAATCAACTTATACTGATAAAAGATTTAACACTTATTGGAAGTATCAATACGCGTAACGTAATAAAAATTAATGATATTATACATTTTAGAAGACGATTATTTAGGTTTTTCCTTTTTTTGGCCTTTGTTCGACCGATGGCAGTTTGTTTTCACCATGACTTCCGGTAAATGTACCGGCTATTTGCCATCCTGTTCCCAGTACTTGTCGGACAAGTACCAAACAACGGTTGAGTCTACTTTAGAAATACGGTCAATTATGTTCTGTTAAGAAATTTATTGTTTTTGTTTTCTTGTTGTTTTTTTATACATTTCTCGTTAGATCAAGAATTCGCACAGTACGCCCGTCCTTGAGTAACAACAAATTTTGTCAATCATTCGCTTTTTTTTTAAAAAATTAAATAAATGAATGAATGAATAAATAAATAAATAAATAAATAAATAAATAAATAAATAAATAAATAAATAAATAAATATAAATAAATAAATAAATAAATAAATGTTACGGAAAGTTACAAATCTTACTGAATTTACACGAGATATTTGGAAGTCATTTCAGAAAACGCCTCGCCGATTACCATTCCTTTTCCGTACTTTGACGGAAAGGGACCAAGACGTTGCGATTGCGAAATAAATACATATGTTTTTAGTGGTAGAAATGTCGCTATCTATAGCATTTATATATGATAAATGATGCACGGTTTTCACGTTATTGGTTGTTTTATTTTTTTCTAGGTCAGATTGTGTTTTGCTTTTTGTCGGTTTTACCTGCTACAAAGAAATTATTTAAAGAAGCAATTGAAGAATATGTCACGTGTTTTAGTTCAAAGGGCATTCTTACCAGCGGTGTTGGGGCATTCATTCTGGGTTGTGGAATGACACTGTCAGGGGCCGTAAGTCGTGTATTGAATAATTGTAGTTAAGCTATGGTTAAGAAGCTAACGAATCTATAGTGGTATATATGCTTATGTTGAATTAATAGTCGTATATACAAATGTATATTAAATTCAATAAACAATTATAATAAGTTGTACATCAATATTTCTCAATATTTTATTCATAAGTATATATTAAATGATTTTTGGAATGAATCAAGCAACATTCTTTTAACCTTTTTCAGTGTCCCGGAATGGTCCTCGCTCAAGTAGGCTCCTGGGTGCCAAACTCAAGTAAGTCATTTTCTTTATTAGCTTTCCCACATATACAAATAAAGTATGTTATTAGCTGGTCAATTGTCGAATCTGTTCCCTGAAACAACTAGTACTGAGCCATGAGTCTAAAGTTTCTTGCTCAAGGAAACAACGGTATGCCCCTGACGAGATTTGAACCCACGCCACGCAGGTAGCGATCCTTAGACCACTGCTCTGACTCGTAAACCACTCGGCCACGACGTCACTTAATGTAGAATTTTACAGGTCAAAAAGAGTATGCTTTTATGAGGCGAGAGGTTTTAATCAAATAACCCATTATATTTAAAGCTGCACGTCTTTAGATGAGCCAAAATATCTGAAGAAAATCAATATTGAGAAAAATGTACTAAAGTTTTAAGAAAGGTAAAAGCATTAAAGATACAAGTTATATTTTTCATGTTATGTGCGGTTTAAGACTGACTTTGCAGTATTTTATCACCATATTTCTATGGCGTTACTAACGCAGTAAGGCTATTTTTGCATGTTAACGATTTTTGGTAATTTTCTTGATTGTAAGTGCCGATTGCAATATGTTAATTACTTTATTTGTTCACCTTACAATATTTTACTTTTAAATACATTTTCCAAACTTTTCATGAAAATTAACATAAAATTGGAGGCGTGCTGCATTAAGGCTATATAATAACCCGTCTGTATAATGAAGTCTTAATATTACACAAATATTTTCTTTGTTTGAAATAATAACAAGTTCCCGATATTTTCAGTAACCATATACATGTCTATGAGAAACTGTCGACTTGACAAACGTGCGAAATCCTTATTACGTCATTTATGTATTGATACGTCAGCGTTGCACTGTGTCATCTTTTTTTACTTTTTTTAAGATATATAAAAATACGGTTGCCCAATATATAGACAATAATAAAAATGTTCGGTATGCTAATTCCTTATTGAATGACGTCATTTACGTATTGATACGTTAGCGTCGCTCTGTGACATATCTTTTACTTCATTTAAACATATACTATGCTCAAATTTGATATTATAAATATTGATAATTTCTACTGTTACAGCCTGTTTGTAAATATAATATAAACATGGTTTGACTACACACAAAGAAGATATGTTATGTTTAAAAATCTACACACTATAGGTGGTCGCATTATGCATATATAGTGTCAGGCAGTTTTTTAAGAAAGGACCAACTTTACTTGTCCCGTAATAGACAACGCATCTTTCCATACATAGTTTATTCCTTCTTTTATTCATATTTACCATATTCAAGAATTTCATAGATTTCAATAAATTTCTGTGGTTAAGATATTTTATTCAATATCTTTAATCGCACCAGTATCATTTGCTCTGATATATAGTTCTTCAGTGTGTCAATTGTCGGTGTGGATACATTGTGTTTGATGTTTATGGATAGATTGAGGTGAAAACAAGTTTGATTTTGCTTGTCATGCATTATTAAATCATCTACTGATCCGAGACATATGACTATAGTTTAAGTACAAGTAAACTTCAGATTAAAAACCTCTTTAACAAATTTAAACATATTTCTTTAAAAGGTTTAAAGGTGTAACTTTAGAACAGGGCATGCAAAATTTCCGAAATTGAAGTTTTAACACCGTTAATAAAGGGACTCCACTACTGAGTTTTTTTACATCTCTAGAAAATTATTTATTTATTGTTTCTAGAGTGATTTCTATATTCTTAATGATAAACCATTATTTTTATGTTTTTCAGTATTCACATTACTGGGCTGTTTAGTCGGCGCATTGTCATACGGGCTTCTGGCACCGGCCATAGAGAGCAAGACGAAGCCAAAGAAAAAATTAAAATATCAAACGTAAGTTTTATTTTGTTCTGAGTTAAAATTTATTTACATCTGTGGATTAATAGATGCCTGTAAGTATATGAGTCACGTGATCTTGTGTTACCCCGCAATCGGAACATCCTCGGCTATCTTTCATATTATCCTTATCCGAAGCATGACGGAAGGGGCCGAAAAGTTGCGAATGAAAAATCGGTACTGGACTTGTTTGCGAAAAAAAACAACAGCAACAAAAACAGATAAACAAACTAATGCGAGCGATATAGAAATTGGCATGTGTCTTATATCGGACCGATATAGAACGATTCCTTAAAACATTCAAAACATTTTTTTTCAAGATAGTCAATCATTGTAAAACGTCTTTTTGTTGTTTTTGAAAAAACGTTTTCTTTTTGTTTTTTTCCTATGCATTATCTACCTATTTACATGTAATCAATGGTACATTTTACATATACATGTACTTGTATTTTCAAAATTCTGTCCACCCTTTCCGCGCAAATTTTTTTTAATGGACATGTCTATCTTTCATTCTAGACTAAACCATTGCTCATTTTTAGGGAAATTTTGACTGTGGTATATTTTAAATATCGATTTGGTCCCCGATCGGTTAGCGTTTTGTCAATTTATGTCACTATTCTAATAATCATGTTTTTTGAAGAGATTTTTGTTGTTGTCGGCATTTCATAATGCCAATGAACAGTCGCTTTTCGTTATTACATTTACTGAATATCTAAAATATTTTTTTTTTCAAGGTTACACCAGACGTTGAACTGGCCATACATTGCCATAGCTTTGCCAATGAGCGTGATGCTTTTCATAGTAGTCTTTGTATTGGAATATTTCTGGGACTACGAAAAAGATATCAAACAAATTGGTGTAAGTATGAGGGAGGAGTGGGCGTGGGGAGGAGTGGGCATGGGGGAGGAGTGGGCGTGGAGAGGAGTGGGCGTGGGGGAGGAGTGGGCGTGGGAGAGGAGTGGGCGTGGGGGAGGAGTGGGCGTGGGGAGGAGTGGGCGTGGGAGAGGAGTGGGCGTGGGAGAGGAGTGGGCGTGGGGGAGGAGTGGGCGTGGGGGAGGAGTGGGCGTGGGAGGCGGGTATTCTATTGTCAGGTTGATAGATTTGAAAAATTCAAAATTATGCCCTTATATTTATGCCAGTTTTAAATAAGTAATATTGAATACCATTGTATGCCCCAATATGTACGCCAATTTTTAATTAATTATATTGAATACCATTTTCATGCCCCTATACTTATGCCAATTTTAATTAAAAACATATTGAGTACCTTTTTAGCCCCAATATGTATGCCAATTTTAAATTAATATTATTGAATACCATTTGTATGCTTGCATATTTATGCCAAATTTAAATAAATAATATTTAGTACTAACGCCAATTTTAATTGAAATAAATTGCATACCATTTTTTTGGCCTTATACTATTAAATACATTTTTTATGTCCCTATACTTAGGAAGGAAGAGGGTAGCAAAAAGATTTGCTTTTGTCCGTTTGTCTGTTCGTCCGTCCATTCTGATGTCACGTCTTCCTGCTGCCTGTCTGTAGACAGACAAATATTTTTGGAAGAGATAAATACGCATGCGCAGAAAACAAATATTGTATTTGTTCGGAATAAATAAAATTTACAGAAATGAAAACAAGATACCATTTTGTATTTCAGAGGACCCCACCGCCTTATGATAATATTTTCACAGCCAGTGCTTGGAGACCGTCCATTGCAGGTATTTTCCTTGGATATTTTTTTTTAACAAATTAAAAGAATTTGCTATGAAAAAAAAATGCTAGCTTTATGACTGTATTCAACGTATAATGTAAAACGAAACCTGTACCTTTTGAAAATGGGCGAAAATTAAATTTGATTTCCTTTTTTCCGGTCTCGTATGAAAATATAGCAACAAAAAAAAAGAAGAAAAAAAAAAAGAATAAATTTAAAAGATCATTAAATCACATACACTGTTAAATATTTTTTTGCTTGAGTCAAAATTTATCAAAATCCGCTTTTTGACGAGGTTTAATTTAATGAATATCTACTTATTTTTCTGTTCAATGTATATGATAGATCTACATTATTGTTTAGCGAACATCTATTTTCGCGTAATAAGCGAAAGCTAATCTCTCGTCAAATTTCTGATTTTACAGTAGCCAGTACTGATAAAAAAATTGCATTAACCCATTTCGTAGAAGTGCAAAGTTTATTTATAGATTTAATTCTTTTAATTTCATTTTTTACAACAGCTGTGTTTTCAAATGTTTCGAGATGTTCTTAAAAATTCGTGATGCATAATTTGTATTTCAGGTGCAATTATTAGAATAATACAGTTACCACTTATATTTACTTTGTTCCACAGGTGCAATTATTGGAGTTATTCAGTTACCACTTATATTTACTGTACATGACACAATGGGCGGGTCTACAAGTTACGTCACAATCGTTTCACAATGGGTCGTCACTGACAAACTCCAGAAAATGTTCCCATATTTAGCGTCGAAACGCTGCGGACTCGGCAATTGGTGGCAGGTACGTTGCAATGACGTCATTTGTTACTGGGAAAAGCCTAATATATGATATTCACCATTTTGCTGTCATCTTCTTATCGCTTATTTACCATTTACATAAGAAATAGCGATGCATCTGGCTCTTTTTTATACGCCCGTTTGAAAAAAACGGGAACGTATTATGGGAACGCCCCTGGCGGGCGGTCGGGCGGGCGGGCGGGCGTCGTCCAATTTTGTCCGGAGCAATATCTCCTACATGTATGGAGGGATTTTAATGAAACTTCATAGAAATGTTCACCACTATGAGGAGCAGTGTCGCGCACATGAACCAGGTCTCTAGGTCAAAGGTCAAGGTCACACACTTAGAGGTCATTGAAAAATGCTTGTCCGGAGCAAAAACTTCCACATGTATAGAGGGATTTCAATATTACTTGGCACAAATGTTCACCATTTTGAGGCGGAGTGTCGCGTGCAAGATTCAGGTCCTTGCGGCCAAGGTCAAGGTCACACATAGAGGTCAAAGTTCAGATAAAAATATGAAGATGTGTATATGGACCATTTAGTCATCATTTATTGAGGGATTGTAACACAAATGGTCATTATCAAGACTATGGCTGTGATACATATAATTTAGGTCAATATATACAAGGTCAAGGTCACTAAAGATGATGAAATATCCAGATTTTTAAATAGAATTTAATCAAAGGGCGACAACAAAGTTATTACTTTGTTCATAAATGACTTACACAATTACTCCCCTTGATCTATTTCACTTTCAATTCTAAAAATAGAATTTAATCAAAGGGCATAAAATAATCCTCTTTCTTGGACTTGAGTATGTTCTAAAGAATGTAACATTTATTTACACATGTTTCATTCATTGGTCAAGATTCTTAACTGTGATAACTATGGTGTTCTGTAGACTTGGTATTTGTTCATAAAGATCATACAGTAATTACCTTATCAAATGTAAATACTTTCCCATAGAAATTTAATTATATTTTAATTTTCAAGTAAATATCAGTTCAGCTCATTCAAAGATTAAGAATTGTAATGAAATGTATTTCCCTAGAATAAAATCTTAAATCAGAATTTTTTAGTTATTAAATTACAATTACATGTACTTTTTATCTTCCCTACTGATTTGTTTTAAGGTTCATTTAACAACACAGTGCCAAGGATAAAAACTTGCTTGCTAGATAACACTTATCCATAATGCCCCCATCTCCATCTAAAGCTTTCGTAAACGGGCGTATTTTGTGACTATGGCACCCTTGTTGACAATTGACGGACTATGCCGAAGATTAACGAATGTTCGCGAAGTGTGACGAACCAATATTGGGCAGATCAAAACCTTCCTGTAATTAAATTGCAACGTGTTTCGAACTATTTGACAAACAAACTATAAGTTACATGCTACGGTTTGTGTCTTTTTCTGTAACCAATTTTTAAATTGGTTTTGTAAACAGATTTGACTCAACAATATCAAATGTTCTTTTATAAAAATTTATTACCCGTTTTTTCAGGTCTTATATGTTGGCGGAGCTATTCTAGGAGCGTCACTGGCTTCAATAGCTTCGGATACCATGGCAACGTCAAGAGGGGCAAATTTACCCACGGCACTTTTTGGTGGAATATTGATGCTGTGGGGAGCACGATTCGCTGCCGGCTGCACTAGGTATATACCTTGTTTGTTTGACACATTTTTATTTCAATATTATCTTTTGATTAAGACTGATTTTTTCGACATGGGATATTGCGTTTGACAGGATTAAACAAGGTGAGATGAAAAAAGTTCTTACAAATGATGACGAAAAGAACAAACAAACGCTAATGTTGTCGTGATTTTTAGTACTTAGGTCCTTTTTTTTGCTTCCGCTTAAAAATCGACATGTATGTCGTTAAATTTAAGCACAGATAAGTAAGCAAAACTTATCGCTGATTCCATAACAGTGTGTTTTGAAATATTATTTACTTTTATCAGAAAAATAATCGTAATTGCCTAAAAAGAAAATTTACAAATAATATTTTTTTCTCATACTTCTACAAAAATGCACGAGGGCGTCCGTGACCGAGTGGTTAAGGTACATGTAGTTGATTTCGAACCACTGGTTCCTCATCGCTAAGGGTTCGACAGGGACTTCGGATTCTTTCTTGTGAGGAAAATATCTGTGGCCCTACTCAGGCGCCTGTCCGTGCCTTAAACAGTGCACAGAAGGGCACTTGAAGTCTTCCTCCACCTTACTCCGTAAAGCCGCAATATGACCTTCACTTTGTTGATGCAACGTAAAACACAACGCTAAAATTCCACATTTGTTATAACGATTTTCATATCAAATAATAGTACTATTTGTAATATTTCTTATAACAGCGGCCACGGTCTTTCCGGAATGGGTCTTCTTGCCTGGTTGTCATTCATTGCTGTTCCATGTATGTTCGCGGGTGGAATTGTAACAGCCTTCTCAATGCAGGCGACAGGAGCACTTGACGATTACGTCACTTCCACGTTTGACACATAGACTGAAAAAGACATGACTTCCTGTCAAAGGATATTTGGCCGTGATATATTATTTATTCAAGATTTTCATTATGGCCCACATGCCACTCTTTGAATAACATATTGCCATTTGTTATCCCACAATTCAATTCGCTCAAAGGATGTGCTATATTTTCTTAATTACGATCGCAAAGGATAGTTCTTTTATCATATGCAAAGGATAGTTCTTTATTCGTTTGCAAAGAAAGGATAGTGCTTATGTCTTCCATAGTGAGAATTTGGTTCTGTATTGACGTGTTTCATACCGGAAATAATAGCCTTATTTAAGTCTCCGGTTTTCAGGATATGACAATGTAGTACCTTTAAATCAAGTGGTCAGTTCGTATCATTACTTAAGTCTATTATCCGACAACTTTTGACCATTGTAAGGCTCATTGCATGGACACATAGATTGTTTAAAATTTGGGACTATAATTTCGGGTATATAGTGGTGAAAAATGAAATATTGAAATAAGAATCATCTGTGATGGAAAATGAAGAAGATGGAAGTCTTTACTGATGCGAATAATTTGTATAGCGTGCATATAAGCAAAAACATTAAGTTACGCTTGATTAAGCGCCAAACTTGAGTGCTGTGAGTTAAATGCATAATAACAAGAGGACAGTTCTTTCTACCAGACAAAATAACGTGTCTGCGTTTTTTTAATCCGGTGATAATCCATGTTTGAATGACTATACTTTAGTACATGTATAACAGTATTAATATTTAGTCACATGATACCTCTGTTTATGACGTATGTAGTGGTATATTACCCGGATATCCGGATATGCAAATTTCGGGTATACAAAAATTTGGATATGCAAAAATATCGGATGAAATTTTCATTCTGCATATTGTAAAGTCTTAGTTTCATCCCAGGAAAATATATTTGCAGTATGCTTGCCATTATTGTTTTAATGCTGATACTTATTTCAAATCAAAATCTAACTAATTACTCTTTATGATCATGAATTGCTCAATTTTTATGGTGTCCTAGCAAGAAGCATGTCGTACTTTTTGATTCGTTTTTATTTTAGTTTTGTTTCTAGCCTTTACAACGTAAATGAGTAAAGTTTAGTAAGTTTTGTAATATAAAATATAATATTTTTCAATCATTCTTCATTCCAATACATAAATCTTAAAAAATGTATGCATAAATCGTATCCAAACTTAATTGATTTTTCTGAATCCGCAATATTTAGAAGACCAGTTACAATGTAAAACAAACATGGCTTATATCACCTAGAACTAATTTTGCTTTAAAATCTGTGTACATTTTTATTTTTTTAAATGAAATCAATATTTGACACTTTCTCACTGTATTTACACAAATTTCCGAAGTTTTGATTGCATTAAATTTTTGTCAAAATGTACCAAAGATTTTGAAAAAGGCTTCATTAGTTGTTGTTTCCTTAACGCATTACGATATCGCAAAATATCACTTAAAAAACTTAACTATTATGATATTGGCAAGACATTGCTGCTTGCACTGACATTTTATTAGAATAAGAAACAATAACAACATTTATTATTCATATAAAGGCGAATTACAAAAGAAGAGTTGCTATATAATAGCTCTTAAGTATTTCGGAGCGACCATTCGTTCTGCTACTCCGTATCTACCTCATTCACTTGTTATCGCTTTTGTAGAAATGTAGTGTTAGATTTTACACGCATGCGTTTAGGCAGCGTTTGATCGCGCATGCGCATGGGAAGCATCTTGCAACGCATGTGATTTCAAATGAGAAGCATCAGACCGGATTTGCGCCTGCGCGAGAGATGCGTCTTAACGCGCATGTGCCATGACATATTTTGCGCTTATATTTGATTGCTCGGTTAACATGTTTGAGATATAATCGAATATAAAAGAAAAGAAATGAATACAATAAGCGGAAACCCTTTGGAATTTTTGAAATTAAATTATAACTTTTTAACTCTCCATTTGTATGTTATTTCCTTCACCTCCTTATAATACAACAAAATATCTGAAACTATACTTTGTTGTAAATCTATTTTAAAATTTATATGAGTGAAGTGTTTTACCAGAGGAAATGGGTTACGTTTGCACTTTTTTTCGGACACAAATGTACAGTTTGTTACCACTTTTGATGCATCGGTGATTTTGATTTGTTGTTACTATAAATATAATATTGACTTTGTTTCTATTTATAGCATGACGCCATATTGAAAATACGTTTTGTACACTTGTCAAAATAAAATACATTGTATTTGTAAATACTGTAAAGAAATGTGTTGATTTTATGTTTGTTGATGTTATTTGAAGATTTGTTCCTCTTTTCACTGTTGCGTTGATGAAGATTAAATCCACAATATATTGTTTTGTCTTTTTTTTACCACAATGTTTTGTTAAAGTTTCTATGTTATGTAATTATTATTTCTGAAACATAAATCAAAATGAAGTTATATCGCTTGTTTCTTTTATTGTATTTACCGTTACAATACTGCAAGTTTATAACGTCTCTTTTCATTTGATAACCCTAACGTTTATATAATCCATATATTAATAATACTGCACTTTTGTAACGTCGCTTTCCATTGGATAATCCTGACGTTTATATCATCTTTATATTGATAATACTGCACGTTTGTAACGTCGCTTTTCATTGGATAATCGTGAAGTTTATAACTGCTCCCGCCTGTTCGAAGAAAAAAAGTGGGGGGGGGGGGTTATAATAACAGGCTTCGTCCGTCCGTCCGTCACATTTTCGTGTCCGGTCCATAACTCTGTCATTAATCAAAGTGTCAAGTTTTGGTTTCACTTATGAGATTTTTCTCGATATTCTGAGCGGTATTTGTGATTATAAGTTAAGAATCGCTGTACTCCTGGACTTGCTGCAGTATTGGACTTGCTGCAGTATTTGACTTGCTGCGCTTCTTGGACTTGCTGCACTTCTTGGACTTGCTGCACTACTGGACTTGCTGCACTATTGGACTTGCTGCACTATTGGACTTGCTGCACTATTGGACTAGCTACGCTTCTTAGACTTGCTGCAATATTGGACTTGCTGCACTATTGGACTTGCTGCAGTATTGGACTTGCTGCACTATATTGGACTTGCTGCACTATTAGACTTGCTGCACTTCTTGGACTTGCTTCACTATTAGTCTTGCTGCGCTTCTTAGACTTGCTGCGCTTCTTAGACTTGCTGCGCTTCTTAGACTTGCTGCGCTTCTTTGACTTGCTGCGCTTTCTTAGACTTGCTGCGCTCCTTGGACTTGCTGCGCTTCTTGGACTTGCTGCGCTTCTTAGACTTGCTGCGCTTCTTGGACTTGCTGCGCTTCTTAGACTTGCTTCTTTTCTGGGAAGCGGACCGTTCTTAGACTTGCTTCTTTACTGGGAAGCGGACCGTTCTTAGACTTGCTTCTTTACTGGGAAGCGGACCGTTCTTAGACTTGCTTCTTTACTGGGAAGCGGACCGTTCTTAGACTTGCTTCTTTACTGGGAAGCGGACCGTTGCTAAGGCTCAACTCTTCACTAGAAAGCCGACTGTTTTCTAGACTTGCTGCTTTATTCGGTTCCCTCACTGGACCTGCTCACCAACAAGGAGACTTGCTGAAAATTAAGCTTTCCGACAATATATATAAAGCCTCTTTCGAAATCAAATTTTTTTTCTTCTTTTTTTTTATTTCCAATTTCATTTCATATAAATACACAACGCGCGAAAACCGGATAGAACGCCACAATTTGTGACGTCACGTCAAAACAATAAATAATACAAAATGGCGGACATTTGTGTTTCTTTTCATAAATAAAATGGCTATTTTGACAACAGCCCTCTTCAAAAGGAAATATTAAATATTTCCATCAATGTCAAAATAACATTCTTTTTTATTCATCTGTTTCTTGATACTGTCTGCTTAGGTAGTCTGCAAAGATATTGTCGGAACCTTTGATGGCTTCAATACGGAACTGGTATGATTGAAGAAATAGGCCCACCTCACTAATCGACCGTTGTCTGGTGTACTTTTCTGGATGTACGTCAAAGAACTGTGGTCTGTTTTGTATGATGAACTCCTTCCCATACAAGTATTTTTGGAACTTCTTTATTCCATATACGATTGCTAGAACACTCCTCTTCCTCCTACAGTAAATAGTTGCCTTTCACGATCAAGTAGCTTCTTGCTTGCAAAGGCAATAGGAAACAACTCTCCCCTCATATCTCTGAAGCAATGCTGAACCTATCCCCAGCATTCGAGGCATACACTGTAAAAATAAATTCTTTCGAAAAATCAGGCAGTCGAAAAATTGGACTCTTGGTTAGTTTTTGCTCCTTTAAAGTATTAAAAAAGCTCTTTCTTGCTCATCTCCCCATCGTACATTGTTTGGTAGGGCATTTCTTCGTTAAGTCTGTAAGAGGTGCCGCAATCTCAGCAAACATGGATGATAAATCTCCTGTAATATCGGCAAGTCCTAAGAACGCTCTAACTTGTCTTTTAAGTCTTGGCACGTCTGCTTCTTTGATTCTTTGTCAGTTTTTCCCTTCCATTTGAACTATGGCCCATTTCCAACCATAATGTCCCTGTAAACCAAATGTTGTTATATCCTATATAACACTTCGATGGCTTTATGGTAAGCTCTGCTTCTGCCAATCTTTGGAGGAGCTCCCTCAGCATTGTCATATGTTCTGGCCAGGTTGTTGTATGCCCTATCATATCGTCAACATAGTTATCAACAAAATCACACCCTGCCAATAACTTCCGCATCATCCTGTTGAATGTGGCTCCGGAGTTAACCATACCGAAAGGCATTTTCTTGAATTGATAACTCCCTCTATCTGTTGCAAATGCTGTAAATCTGCGGCAATTTTCAGCAACTGGGATTTGCCAATAACCTTTGCATAAGTCGATCTTGGTAAAATACTTAGCATCTTTCAGCTTTACCATTATATCATCTACGCTTGCCATTGGTTCGGTGTCAAATTTGGTGACGGCATTCAGTCTTCTAAAATCAATACAAAATCGATTACTCCCATCTTTCTTCTTTGACAATGACTATCGGTGCGTTGTATTCCGACACAGATGGTTCAATCACACCAGCCTTTATCATATCTTGTATTTCATTTTCAACAGCTTGTCTCTTGGCATATGGTATGAGGTACTGTTTCACTCTCACAGGCGTCTTGTCTGTTAATTCAACATGGGTGCTCTAACAGTGGAGTTGTTCCTGGTCGCTCTGAAAACAACTTCGCAAAACTCTTGAAGTATGGCAAGGACTTGCTTCCTCTGTTCAGGAGTAAGTCCTTCATTGATATTGACATCTTGGTATGTCTCTCCACTTGTGTAGTTAGGGAAGTTCAGGAGACTTTCGTCGTCCACCGCTCCAATCTGAATTATCATCAACGTCTTCTATGATCGCTACACTTGCTGCAATCTTATCTTGGCGTTCTTCATATTTCTTCAGCAAATTAATATGGAACGTCTTCAGCTTGTCTCCAATCTTGATTCTGTAATCAAATCTATTAATTACTTCGACAACTTGAAAAGGTCCTTTCCATTGAAGCATCATCTTATTATTGTCTGTGGGTAAAAGCAGTAAGACTTTATCTCCAACACGCAACACTCTGTTTCGAGCTCTCTTGTCATAGTGATGCTTATAGGTATTCTTGGCTTCAACAGGCTTTCTCTTGCTATCTTGCATGTCTCCTCCAAGCGCTGCTTCAGGTTGAGCACATACAGGTATGTATTTTGTATTCTGGATCATTCTTTGAGTCCAATGTCCTTAGTATTTGCATTGGCCCCTTTAACTGTTTTCATAGAGCCACTCAAACGGGGAAAATCCTGTCTCGCCTGTGGTACCTCTCTGTATGAATAATTAGGCCCGTAGGTACTATCCCAGTCCTTTCGGTCTTTCCTGGCACTTTTCCGCAGCATAACTTTTTTAAGCACTCCATTATCCGTTACCAAAGCCGTTTGCATTTGGATTGTAAGGTGTTTGAAGAGTTGCCTTCAAGATATAGTGGCATTCTTTTAGAGGTCTGCTGTAAATTGCTTCCTCTGTCATTAGAATTCTGAAGGGAATCCTAACCCTTGAATAATTTGAGCAGTGCTTAGCAATGCTCTCGGTGTTATTTTCGCAATGGCACGGCTTAGGTAACGTGTGGCAAAATCCACCACGTCAAGATAATATTTGTTTGCCCTTTCTCCGATCAATGGTATAATCGTCTATCAAGTCTATTGCTACCGATGAAAATTTCCCTCAATCACCGCATTCTCCTAGGGGGACCTTCTTCACTCGCCTTTTGGGATGGTTTCGGCAGACGTCACACGTCTCAAAAACGTCCCACATCTCCCGTTTTCCTGCCAATGGAAAGCTTGTCCGGATTTGTCCTCTGTTTCTTTAATGACAAATGTCCACCAACAATGGGATTTATGTGCAAGTTCATCACTCTCTTTCTTAAAGTCTGTCGGGAACAAACAATCTGCTTGGAGTCATCACCATTTTTCTGAAAGTAGGCTCTAAAAAGCACACCGTTTTCCACCACGTATTTAAACTTGGCCCCACCTTTGGTTTGCAGCTCTTCTGCCTTCTCTGCTAAGTCCCAAACTTTCTTTAATGAAGAGTCACCTTTCTGGGATTCCTTCAATTTCTCTATGTCAACTTCAGCTTCGCAGGAAGGTTTTGGAACAGTCAACGCTCTAATTGGACGGTCTGCTCTCTGATGCTGTGCTCTTGTCATGACTGCTGCAACAGCCGATGGTTCTTCTGTCTCCTTCCATTCAGGATCAGGCTTATCAAGTACTCCGGCAACGTTACCAATCACTAAATCGCATATTAATGACTTAAGCACCATTGCCTCTAACTCCCCAACATAGTATGGCGTATCTACCCATATTTTCGCCAAAGGTACTACTTTGGCATCTCCATCAATTGTTATCATAACAATTTCCTTACCCGTGAGTTGTTCTTCTTTCACAAACTTCTTCTTTACCGCCGCTAACTCACATCCAGTATCTCTCAACACTCTAACTGCATCTGCTCCAACAAAGCCCTTTTTCAACTCCAGGTTTCTTTCTTCTTCCAATAAATCAATGGTAACAAGCTCCGCGAGGATCGGCACAGTCTCACCACTGGCTAACTTCAACTTTCCATCTTCAGTGTTCTTCTCTAGTGGATTAAGGTCTGCTTTGGCACATACGGCTGCTACCTTGCGGTCTCTTCTTACACCTTCTGATTTTGTCTGCCTACAATCTTTTGCAATATGCCCCGTCTTGTTGCAAATAAAGCACACCTTTGGTGCTTGGCTTCTGTTATTTCTGTCGGC